TCAAAGTGGTATCCCTATAACCAAATTATCAGAGGACTTTTTGTCAGTGTAACTAAATTCCATTAAACCATCTAGGTTTTCCAAAAGGAACACAATGTTCTACAGATTCAAATATGCTTTCAGGCTGAGCTGTTCTGTTGAGATTATGGCAAGGCTACAGGGCATTAAAACAAATGCTGTTTTCATGCACAGATTTTTAACTAAAGCTTCATCTTGAAGAACGCTTGCTGGATGGGCAGAAGGCTCCACACCATCACCTTAACTACCTTAATAAGACACAGCTGATTTTTCTCTGAAATCATCTATCTCAAAACCAATTTCATTCTCTGATTCAACAAAAAAGCTGAATTTCCACCAGAGCTGTTGGAAACAATCTTCTCTGACCAGGAATTGATACTGAAACTACAAGTCTCATCCAAAATTATTTGACATGTCCGGAACAGGACCTGGACAGAATTTGAGCAAACACTGGGAAAAAGGATCCTTTTCCCAAACTGTCCTTATCGCCGCCTGAAGAGATTTGTTTTCTACACTTTGCATGTGTCTGTATTTGCATCTGTTGTCTCTCTTCTTTACCCCACTATATATCTCAAATTATTTTCTGAAAAAGAAGTACAGCATTAGCAGCATCTTAGACAAAATGGCATGTCTGCGAACAAGGATGAAGAAAAAATCTTCCCGATAATAGAATTTATAGGAATCAACAGTTTCTATCACTTGATGTTCTGTGCAGCAGAATAGATGAAACATACAGTCAGAAAAGGCAAGTAAGATTGTTTAAAAGACCTTTTTTATCTTTAATTTCTGTGATTCAATAATAAGACACTATAAAATTCATATATTATGTTTTATTACAACTTCGTATTAATATCACAATCTAAGGCTGATTGTTCCTCATTCACATATTCTTGCAAATGTGAAGCCAAGATCATATTTCTTATGTTAAACCCCCCTCTAACAATACAATCCTGTCAAGGCAATTTAGTTCAATACAGTCAGATCATAAAATCAATATTTCTTTTTTCATAAGCATACAAGTACATGATTAAAGGCATTTCAGTTATTTGAACTGGCTTTGCTATCACAGAAGATAGAATAATGGTTTTAAGTGTGTAAAGTGTTGCTGAGTCTTTACTAAATAAAACTGGAAGATATTCTTGTTGTAGGACTCTCCAATGTTTTAGACTGCAAGCTATCCAAAGGAAAAAATTTCTGAATTGGAAATTTAGCTAGGACACTCAAATTATTACAACTTTGGAAAAAAAACAAACCAAAAACCAAACCAAAACAAAAAAACCACACACAAAAAAAACCCCACAAACAAACCCCACAAAAAATGCCCTAAAAAATTACCATACCATTATTTCTCCCATTGCAAATTATTTTCTGTCCAACAACCCTTTCAGCCTACTTTCACTCTAGACTATAAATAAAATACAAAAACTCATTCCTTCCTTGGGAAGATGTTCTCCACACTCTGTAGAATCCTGCACCTGGAGAACTGTCCTACCATTACCAGAAAGTTTCTTGCATAGAGTTGTGCAAGCAATACATATGATTTGATAAAGCACAGCTGTAGCTTATGAGCAAGTATCTACACAAATGCTACTGTTTGCATAACAGTGTTGGAAAAATGTGATGGGGATCTAGATTAAAATGAGCATCCAAAACACACTGATGTTCATATCTGTACAATTTTCACGTCAGAACATACGAAAATTTTATATAGCATGATAAAGCACTATACATCACTGAATTACACAGATTCATTAAAAATTTCTTTCCTATCTTTCTTTCCCCCCAGTTTTTCAAAAATATGTAGCTCTTTCCACATGCCAAATGCATTCTTTTCTTATGTGCTTCCTTTTCTTTTGCTGTCCTGTGCATGCAAAAATGATACCACAGGAACCCTTTCTGAAGGATTTACCAAATCTAAAAATCTGGGATTTTTCAGGTTTGAAGTGCTGTTTTGCCTTCAGCTTTACTTTAGACATTGATCATATTGACACTCTTAGAAACCTTTTGAAAAAGTATAATCTGATCTTTCTTTCAATACCAAATGCTGTCTGCAAACTGGAATTCAGGTAGAAGACTACATTTGAAACATACTTTATGAATACTGATTGAAATTTAATTAATATACAACATTTCAAGATTCAAAAATGTAAGTAAAGAACAGCTGAATACAAAAGAGTATCAGGGAAAGGAGAAGGCTGCACATACTAAGAGCTACATAATAGGTGAATGACAGCATTTCTGAGCTAGCATAAGAACAGAAAAAATCCACTGGCTTTCCACTACCATACATGAACAGATGATACATCCAGAAGATGTCCTCCACTATGCTTCACATCTTTCTGTAAGCACTTACTGCTCCAAAGGCAAAGTTTATTATTTATTTAGGATAGTTTGGTTTCTTTAAAATACTGCTCAGACTGTGGGTCTATACTGATACTAGCCAGTTAGCTAAACAAGGAAAGCTCTTGGAGAATTGGGCATTCAGAGAACCACATGGGGAACTTTGATTCTGCCAACTGTTTCAATGAACTCATTACAGCTGACTGACGTGAATCAATAATGAAACAAACTGCAAAGACCTTGATGCACAATACATTCCAGATGGTGCATTTTATGCACCTAAATGATCTTGAAATCTAAAGTGTACAAAGGAAACCTGCTAAATCATTAAGAAATTCTTAAAACGTGCCAATGTTGAATGATTTTCACATTGCCTAACCTTAAGCCCTCTCTATTTACTTGCCTCACTGAAAGGCAAAACTCCTTGCTAATCCTACATACACATGGGGACAGCTTGTGCAAAACCCACAATTTAGATGTTCTGAATCCCCCTCAGCAGAAGGATATCTCTCTTAATTACAATATTTATATAAAAAGAAAATGGCAAAGTAGGCATCTAACCTGAAACTAAATAATATGGTCTAAACCCACTTCCTTCCCCCCTACTCGCACACTCAGTCCTACCACTGTATTACCTACACGTATGATCAAAGTATTTGAGCTCCACAGGCAGTAAACTTGGCCATCCCTTTCAAAGGTGTAAAAAGGAATAAACAGGCTTCATTAATACAATTCTTTCATCATAGCTTCTCAAAATACCTTGCTGGTCTAAATTAAAGCTATGTTAGGAATCAAAAAAATTCACATTTTTGAATTAGTGAATGATTTCACTAAGGATGATTTATCTAAAATGAAAACCCCTCTGGAAGCAGGTGCAAAGCTAAAACATTGTAAATGCGTTACTCCTAAGATGACTACATTAAAAAACACCTAAGTTTTTTTGCCTCAACAGGTGATAAATACCTCAGGAGGATTCCATGAGGAAACAGACAAAGTGAGGCTATAAACAAGAAATCCAGGTAAAGTGATGTTGGTCTCAAATTAGGAGATATGGGAATCCTTTCAACCCTATGAGTGCTTAACTCTTCCTGACAACTGACATAAAACTTAGGAAATCTATGCAGCAGAAACTGCTAAATGTGCAAACGCTCTCATTATCCCTGTCAGTACTGTTAGCTGGATTGCTGTGTCACCATGAGTCAGTCAATTACGCAGTCACTTTCATGAAGGGTATTCATTCCAAATAATTATCTCTGCCTCATTTCCCAGAGTTTGTGGTCTTGGTACTTTCTCATTTCATATTCCTTTTCAATGGATTCTGTGATTCTATTTATTCTCTCAGTTAGCCTCAGTCTCCAAGGATTTCAATCTCCAAGTTTTTGGGAAACTGATACATCCCATACAGGAGTGCAAATCCATCCCTTTAATTCACATAATGCAATGAATCTGAGATTAAGTTATAACTACTGAAATTGGCAATTTTCTTTCAAGGATAAGCACTTTTTTTCTTACATACCTTCTTTTTAAATTTTATTTCCTATCATAATGTGGAACTGTATGACATTTTTTCTTTCAAAAAGCCTTACTTAATTTTACATATATGACAGAAGTGATATGTGATAAAGAGAGTAATCAGAGGAGGATGTATAGTGATCTTTTCTGGCTGTTTTACTGCTTTCTTCCCTGGCATACAAATAACCACTGATATGACCTTTACTGTGGTTATAAATTTACCAATCTCTGTCCATAAAAAAAAAAAATCAATAATTTTTGTATCTTTGCACTTCTATATTAAGATAAAAATGTTAAAAGACTATTAAAGACCCTCTTGTTTATTTTATTTTCCATATGAAACATTTAAGATAACTATTCTCTTCACTTTTCAGGGAAAATGAGTGCCTGTATTTCTGGAGGAATGAATTGCCAAACTGTGAGGTTTCATATGTTGTCTACAGACATGCCAGTCACAAAGTATGCCATTTTTAGAATGTTTTCTCTGAATATAAAAAAATCACATTTGACGTTCATTTTTCCTTAGGAAAGAGCATATAACACTTGTACAAAAAACTCCATTTGGCAAATTATGGATATTTTTTGAGTGTCCTCTCTATCTCATTTGCATTCCCTTTTACATGTGGCATACCTTTTCTAATGCATTCCTAGCAGTCCAACAAAAATATTAAGTGTCTAAATGTGTCTTCCAAATCAGTCACTTCAGTGGATTCAAAATTTAGCCACACTCGCTTAAAAAGTGTAATGAGAATATATTGATTTCATTGTTGACAATGATCCATAGCAATCCAGTTCAGTTAATGAATGATCTAGATCTTCTGTTCAGGTTAAAAGGTGAGACAAATGAAATTCACGGTTTGATAAAGCCCTACGGTTACACAGTACTTCCAAAATGGAGTTCTCCACTACTTAGAGTAGGAGATTATACTAATGAGTTGAAAACAAAACAGATATAGTAAGTGCTTTTTCTGACAAAATCCACCTTTCTGCTTGAAATGCACTTCAAAAACAATTTCAATAACATTCTTCTGTTTACACAATGACATAAGATGAAGAAATTCTCCACCGAAATGTGCAAAGTCAAAGTAATTTTATAACAAGCATTTTAAAGGTAAAACTATTGTACTTACCAAGCCAACTTCTGTTTAAATATACTGACACAAACACTGGAGGGACCGTGAAGAAATCTACCACTGAGTTAACTTCTAGCCAAAACCATAGCTTGTCATTGGCTGCTATAAACTGGAAAGAAAAAAAAAAGAGAGGAAGAGATAAAAGAAACAGATTATTCTCATGCTGATTGCAGGTATCTGTTCTAAAATATTAAACTCAAAAGTTATGATGTTTTAGGTCAGTCCAGACAAAACATGTCTCACTGGAAAGAAGTCTGTATTGTGAATTTCTTGATAATAACACTAAGATTAAAATGAAAGGTGTAACTAAAGAGATAGATCATCTGTGTTGTAATATCTGTGCTAAAGATACTTTTCCCACATTTATTGAAATGTATCAGTAATATTAGAAAAGTGTAGGCAATTGTAAAGTATTTTGAAGTACATCACTTTTGTTGCAGCACACCAAATATGCTGATAGTAATCTTATCATGTATTTGCTGTTCACAAATTTCTCGATATGGAGTGGTTCACAGAGTCCCATTATTACATGTCCCAAGGAGATCAGCAGAGTGACTCCTACAAGGCATAGTTTGGGACTGCAGCAGCACTTCAGGCATGGAACCATGGATGTGGTCATTTCTCTCTCCTGAATACAAAATCAGCCCAGGGAAACCGGCAAGCTTAGATGCCAAGGGCATCATAGTTAGAACTTGCCTATGTGCTTAAATAAGATGAAAATACCATTCACATTTTATTAATAATTAAAAAGTAATTAAAACATTTGCTTTATATAAACATTAAATGTAAATATACCAACAAAAGGAAAAAAATCGAGTGTACCATGAAGATATTTAACAGAGCAGTTCTATCTAAGTCTTAAAACTTTGACTCACACATTTCAAAACAATGAATGAAGATATTAATTGTCCTTCTTTCAAAGAAAACACAACCTCTATTTCAATCACCATATCCAGCAGCTGCCTTCCCTCCCTGCCTCTTGCTACCAAAGACAGATTACTTACACGCAAGCCGAAGTAGAGTAGGAAGAACACATTGAAAGCCATGTCGATCTGTAATGTGAAATCTTTGTAGAAATTCTGGCAGGATTCTATTGGGCTATTTGAAAGACAAAGAAATCAGAATAAACTGTCAGTCTGTGAGTTTCTACTCTGCCGAGAATTGTATGCATTTCATTAAAGACCTTGATCCAGAAATCATGTTTCTGTTTTCCAGTCGATTAGAAGATGCAAGCATTTCAAAGGAATTAATTCATTCATTCAGTTAGTCATTCATACAGTATTTATATTCACCTGTTCAGGTAATATTTGAGAATTAACATGCAGATACCTTTAGGAGAGGACAAGCAGGAGAATACCTCAGGATTGCTTAACCCCACATTAACCCTTAAAGAACTGACTTCTTTCTAAATGAGACACACCTATGATACTTTAGGAAGAAACCTAACAAGTACACAGGTACAGTGAAACATTACATGCTTTTAATTCATAAAACCTTTAACAAAAAATAGTTGCTTAGGAATACATTACCCATTAGCAACCTGGAGTACTTAGTCTTGTAGAATCCCTTGTTTATAAAAAGTTGATTGGATTTTTTTTTTCTTTTTCTCACATCTTTTTTTTTTTTTTGTATGGCCATTTAATGTACTTTATGTACGGTACTATGAACTGAGTAGAAATGCAGCATAGCCCACTGGTAAAATTAAATAACAAAATAAATTGAAGAATTTGAAGCAGTACTCTAAGGGTTAATTTCTGCATGCAGGTTAATTAAAATACCCTTGTGTGTATCAGGCAGCCATTGCAAATTTTAGCTTCTTATTTTATGCTCTATTTGACAGTGGGACAGAACCAAAGCTTACTCTATACAAACTGGTACTTTATAAATATACTTTTATCTAAAGAAGGTGGTAACTTCCGTATGTATCATCAGTGATTTATTTGTGAGGTTTCTAAAACAGGTTGTTGAAGCCACAGTCCAATGTTGTAGTCATAGGCCAAAGTGAAAACCATGTCCCAATATATGTTGATGTATATACTATATATATATAATCCCACCATATATACATATATATACACACATATATTGCAAATGATCATGTGTTCATCACAACTGTAATAGAGAGAAACTAGAACATAGATCATTTGAACATTTGGAGCCCTAGAAAACATCCTTTTAGAAAAGCAGAAATTTGTTGGCTTTCTAGATCAAATAAATCACTGAACGTGAATGTAATACCAGTTAGTATAGCAGTAGTTCTGCAAATATAATGCTAGACTGCTCAACAAGCAAGATTCTATGCGTTATGAATGTCAGGTACCTAACTTAAGGCATAAAGGAAATTACCTGGACTACCAGGTCATTACACATGCAGCCAAATTTTCCATTCCTTGTATACATTTCAGGTCAAACAAGTGAATTACAGCATGCTCTCTCCTGTCTCTAGATGCATGAATGTATACAGCAAAATTCTCCTTGATGTACAATTGCTTCATATTTTAAGAAGCTTCAGTGCTGTAGGAAATCTTATTAAAATTGTTTTTCAAAGGCTATTTGAAAATGCATTGAAGTTATAAGACATTTCTGTCAAGTTCAAATAAAATTGATTTACAAGAGCAGGCAGAAGGGAAGAGAAGCCAAATGTTAACATACAGGAGAGCAGACAATACTTCATATTTACAAACACAGTTTTAGCTACAAAAACAGTGGATGTAATTTGAGAACCCAACTGGATAATTTTCTGTATGGCACTAATGAGGACAAACGATTTTGTCAAAATAAGGAAGGCCACACACTGAGTCACAGGGCACCCTACCAACAGGAAGTACAGAGGAACAGAATCAACAGCCCTGCACCAGCCCTTAACTCCTGGTTAGGTTGCTGCAAAAGCTGGAGAAATTCACTGAAGCTAATGGAATTGCAGAAGCTTATAACTAGGATAGAGAGCAATTTTTAGTTAAGGTCAGCTAAGGTTGCAGCTAACAGCTCTACTTTTGTGTCATTGTCCTTCACAAAAACCTACAAGATCTGATAAATTACCTAATGCATAATACATCTTCATTTTTTTTTTGCAAAACACTTAGCACAATGGATGACAATTCTGATTTGTGACTTTTGTTCACCTAATACCAAGACTGCTGTTTCTGCTAGTCATATCCTTTAAACTTCCTTCATTTTAGAAAGCATCTCGCTCTTTCAATGTTCATTTCAAAGACAAACACAGCATCCTTTATTTTTATTGCAAATGATGATTTTGTCAGAAGGGCATGACACTGAAGAAATTATTAGTTTTTTTCACAGATGGATTACAAAAGATTTTAAACATACTAAATTAAACTTTCACTTTGGATTTTTTATTTTTCTTCTCACCAGCAGCTGACATCTGAGCTGGCAGAAAAATATGGCCACCAATGTTAATCATTGCATTATTCAGCCTGCTGCAGAAAGGAAGCCAGTTTGGAACTCATCTTTACACCAAGTTTCCCAAAACCAGAAGTGCTGTATGTATTTCTTAGCAGTGCACTAGGATCTCCAGGACCAGGAATAATACTAATGAAACTCCCTGGTTTATATTAAAATTACATGGCATATCCTGTGGGATTTCACCCCATAAGGGCAGCAAAGGTTTCACTTCTGAAAAAGATGACGGAGTATTAGAATGTTTTTATTCCCCTTCCATCTAAGCATGGTTTCATACATTTATACCGCAAAAAGACAGGAGAAACTATGATAAAATAAATGAAATAGCACCCTAGCAATGAGAGGAAAGATTTCATATAGCTAGATAAAAATTACAGTAATGATGCAATGGGTGTCTCCCCCTAAAACAATGGCAGGATCAATACTCCAACAACTGACATGCACATCTGGTAAAGGAGCCAGCTAGGGAAGGAACCCCATTAGAGATGTTTTTCTGAACAGAGAAGTACTGGTGACTGATGTGACAACAGGAGGCTGTCTTGGGCACAGCAATCACAAAATAATAGATTTTGAATTCTGAAGAAATAATGAGGGGGACCAGCAGGACTCCCAGAGGGCAGGCTTTGGCCTGTTTATGATGCTGGTTGAGAAAGACCCTTGGGATGCAGTCCTGAAGGGCAAAGGAGTCCAGGAAGGCTGGACACGATTCAAGATGGAAATTATAAACGCACTGAAGCAGGCCATCCCTGTGTGTCAGAAGATGAGCTGGCAGGGAAGACCATCAGCCTGGCTGAATAGAGAACTTTGGCTGGAATTCAGGAATAAAAGTGCATCATCTTTGGAAGAAGGGCCAGGCAACTCAGGAGGGCTTCAAGAATGTTGTGAGGTTATGCAAGGAGAAAACTAGAAGGGCCAAAGTCCAACTAGAATCAAATCTGGTTACTGGTATAAAAGGCAATAAAAAATGTTTCTAGAAATGTATTAGCAACAGAAGGTGGGCTAAGTAGAATCTCCATATTTTATTGGATGGGGGGAACACAATGACAAAGAATGAGGAGAAGTCTGGGGTACTTAATACCTGCTTTGCAGTCTTTAATAGTAAGAGCAGTTGTTCTCTGGGTATCCAGTGCCTTGAGCTGGAAGACAGGTGGGGAACAGAATGAAGGCCCATAATCCAAGGGGAAATGGTCAGTAAAATACTACACCATTTAGACACAAACTGAGAGGCCTGCATGGAATCCACCCAAAGATACTGAGGGAAGTGGCAGAAGTGCTCACCAAGCTACTTTCCATCATGTATCAGCAGATCTGGTTAACTGGAGAGGTCTCACAGGAAGCTAGGAAATATGACACCCACTTAAAAGAAGGATGAGAAAGAGGAATTATGCAACTACAAGCCTGTCATCCTGACCTTGGTGCTGGGAAAGGTAATGGGGCACAACATCTTGAGCCAGCACAGAGCACATGTAGGACACCACAGGATCAGGTCCAGCATGTTTGGCTTTATCAAAGGCAGTGCTGCTCGACCAATCTGATCTCCTTTTATGACAAGATGACTTGCTTGGTGGATGAGGAAAAGGCTGTGGAGGTTATCTAGACTTTAGTCAAGCTTTCTACACCATTTCCCATAGCATCCCACAGTCTCTCTACTGGCGAAACTGGCTGTTTATAGTTTGGACTAGATGGGTAAAAGACAAGCTGGATGGCTGAGCCCAAGGAGAGGAGCAAATATCTTGTTCAATCTGGTCAAAGGAATTGAGTGAGTCCTCAGTAAGCTCACAGATGACACCAAGTTGAGCAGGAGTGTTGACCTGCTAGAGGGTAGGAAGGCTCTGCAGAGGGATCTGAACAGGCTGGTTCCATGGGCTGAGGCCAATTGTATGAGGTTCAACAAGGCCACTTGGGTCACAACAACCCCATGCAGTGCTACAGGCTTGGAGAAGAGCAGCTGTGAAGTGCTCACTGGAAAAGGACCTGAAGCTGCTGATCAGCAGCCAGCTTAGCATGAGCTAGCCTGTGCCAAAGCGGCCAAGGAGGCCAAGGTCCAGAGGAAGGGGAAGGCTCTGGAGCACAGGGGGGCTGGGGCTGTTCAGCCTGGATAAAAGCAGGCTCAGCAAGGACCTTATCACTCTCTACCACTCCCTAGGGGCAGGCTGTAGCAAGGTGTGGGTTGACCTCTTCTCCCAAATATAAGTGACAGAACAAGAGGAAATGGCCTCAGGTTGGGCCAGGGGAAGGTTAGATTAGATGTTAGGGAACAATTTTTCACTGAAACATTGCCACGCATTGAAAGAGGCTGCCTAGGGAAGTGGTTGAGTCACTATCCTTGGAGGTATTTAAAAGATGCATAGTTGTGGCACTTAGAGACATGGTTTAGAGGAGAACTTAAAGGTCATTTCTAAAATAAATGATTCTATGATTCCCTAATATTTATAAGTACTTTGAAAGAGAATGTCTGATTATCTGTACAATTTTTACAACAAAACTAGTAGTTATTAAGCCCAGATGTACAGTTATAATAGGCATAAACTACTTCAATGAACAAGAGTGGTAACAAAATAACTCCACTTAATTTTACATATATGGGGCAAAACTTTGACAAGGTGTTCCCAGCATCCTTAAAACTTTGCTGCAATCAACACTGAAGCCAACACTGTGCATGACACTTTTACCATATG